TTCTCTTAATGGCATTAGTACAGAAGTCTTAGAACAATCTCTGACCCAAAATTCTACTCCCTTTGGTCCATACTCCCTTTAGACATCTGTGTTCATGTAACTCCATAGATACAAGTCTTCTCACAGCACCTCAAGGTTTTGCTCTGTGTACTTGTTGACAGTGGTCTAGGTATCTCCATATCCCAGTTGGATTATCTTGGTTTAGTTCATCACTCACTCATCATGAAGGGACAAAACTATCTTTTTTCCCCCTGCCCCCTTTTTATTGGGAAGCTATACTTGGTGATATTAGGGGCTACTTCTAGCTTGGTTCTTTGTTGTCACTCCTGGTGGTCCTCAAGGGACTGTGTGGTGCTGAGTATGGGAACTCAAAATGCAAATCATGTGCTTCAGCCCATTGAGTCACCTTCTGGGCCCCCTCTCTTCCTTCTTGACAGCCAGATAGGATTGTGTATTTGTGGCTCCTTCTGCCCCCCCCTTTTTTTGTTTTTTTGGGTCACACCTGGTGATACACAGGGATTACCCCTGGCTCTGCACTCAGGAATTGCCCCTGGCGGTGCTCAGGGGACCATGTGGGATGCTGGGAATCGAACCCGGGTCAGCTGCGTGCAAGGCAAACGCCTTACCCTCTGTGCTATTGCTTCTGCCCTTTGAGGAGGTGCTGTCAGAGGCAAGTGAATGATTCTTTAGAATTTCTTAATACAAAATCAGAGGGAAAGAGGGAGAGGAGTAAAAAGAAGCACAATAACCAGTGAAAAAGAGCTTGGAGAAGTATGGGCTGTTTTAGTGAAAGCAGCATAAGAGTAGAAGTCTGCAAGGAAATATTGAAGCTTAAAGTAATATCAGTCTACATTGTTTCCTTCTTTTGGTTATCTAGAAAGTGCAGACAAAAGATCATCTTAAATGGATTAGAGTCTTGAACATAAAACCTGCAATCATGAAGCTCACAGAGGAAAACAGATGTGAAAAGCTCTCGAACATTTGGTTTGGCAATCATTTTTTAGGTATGACACCAAAAGCAAAGTAACAGAGACAAGTAAAACCACGTCAAACCAGAAAGCTTCTGCACAGCAATGAAGCCTACCAACAAACAAAAAAGATGAATGATCAAATGTGAAAATATATTTGTAGGGGCTGGAGCAATAGCACAGCAGGTAGGGTGTTTGCCTTGCATGCAGCCAACCCAGGTTTGATTCCCAGTACCCCATATGGTCCCTCGAGCACCACCCGGGGTAATTCTTGAGTGCAGAGCCAGGAGTAGCCCCTGGGCATCACCAGGTGTGACCCCAAAAAGCCAAAAAAAAAAAAGAAAATATTTTTGTAAACCATAATTCTGAAAAGATAGCATAGCGGGTAGGGCGTTTGCCTTGCAAGCGGCCAATTTGTCCAACCCGAGTTCGATTCTTCTGCCCCTCTCAGAGAGCCTGGCAAGCTACCGAGAGTATCTCACCTGCACGGCAAAGCCTGGCAAGCTACCCATGAAGTATTCTATATGCCAAACACAGTAACAACAAAGTCTCACAATGAAGTTGTTACTGGGCCCGCTCGAGCAAATCGATGAACAATGGGAAGACAGTGACAAAGACAATTCTGAAAAGGATTTAGTAGACAAAATATATAATCTATATTACTCAGTAGCAAAGAAACAAAAACAAGTAGAAAATATGAACAGCCACTTTTCTAACAGGTACAAAAAAAGGTGCTTGATATTGCTCATCATCAGGGAAATGCAAATAAAAAATGCAAGGGGACGGTATCTCCTACCTATTAGGATGGCTGTCACCAAAAAGATGAGATTCCAGGTGATTGGTGAAGATTTGAAGGAAAGGGCCTTTGTGCATCATTGCTGGGAATGTAAATTGGTGCAGCCACTATGGAAAATAAGACAGAGGTTGCTCAAAAAAATAAAAAGTGCAAGGGTCTCTGGGATCTGGCTCAGTATTAGCAACTAGCTTTTATGCATGAGACTGAGTTCAATCCCTGGCACTTACTCACATTGCTGCTGAGTGTAATGCTAGGCTATCCTGGTGAGATTCTTGGAATGTAACCAGGTGTGTGACACCCCCCCCCCCCCCGTATTATGGTATACCAAAATAGCTGAAAGAAAAAAAAAAGGGAAAAGGGGAAATGTTGAAAATGAGACTATTATGAGGGGGCTGAAGATATAGTTAAGCAGGGAGGGTGCTTGCTTGCTTTGCACACACCTGACCTGGATTCAATCCGTGGCATCCCTTAGGGTCCCCCAAGCATCACCAGGAGTAGTTCCTAAGTGCAGAGCCAGGAGTAATCCTGAGTATCACTGGGTGCAATTTAAAAAAAGAAAGAAAGAAACTATCTCATGAAATAGCAACCTAACAGCTGGGCATACATCTAAATGAACTATAAAATGAAAATTGTATTCCAAATAGATACCTGTGTATACAAATCTATTATAATGTATTTATAGTAACTAAGATATTAAATCGTCTAAGTATCTATCAACAGATGAATGGATCAAGAAATATAGCATAAATAAACATGCAACTGAATATTATATAGCCATAAAAGTGGAAAATCCCGACATCTGAGACAACATGGTAGACATTAAAGGCATTATTTTAGGTGAAATGAATTGGCTACAGAAAGACAAGTAACATATGATTTCACTTTTATGTGAAATCTAAAAAAAACAGAGCTCATAGAAACAGACCGGACAGGTAATTAGAGGAAGCAAATTCAGGGAAATGAGTGAGTTGGCTAAAAGAGACAAATTCACAGTTGTAAGTTAAGTTTTGGAGATTTGATGTATAGTATGGTGTCTATAGTTAAAATACTGTATTGTGTTAGAAAGTTGCTGGGAGATTAAATCTGAAAAGTGTTCATCACAAGAAAAAAGTAATTATTTGAGGTGATGTATGTTCATTAGGTTTATTGTGATGATCATTTCACAGTATATGATATATCAACTAATTATATAGCACTCCTTAAATCAATACTACAATACTATATGTCACGTATATCTCAATTGCTCGATAGTACTGGGGAAATTATTCTAGAAAACATAACTTCACCGTAATAGGTCTCTTAATGCTCTTTGTGGTCCCACTGGGAGATTTGTGCCAGGGGACTCAAACTTGTCCAGAAGCATCTGCTTACCAGGGACCATGATCATAACCGAGGGAACAGACCAGAGTGAAAGTTCTGAGTATTGCTTGCCTTGCGTGCAGCTGGTCCCTGTTCATCTCCAGCACTACATATAGGTCTCCGAGCACCATCAGGAGTGATCCCTGTGTACAGAACCAGGAGCAAGCCCTGAGCACTGCCAAGTGTGACCCCGCCCCCAAACAAAGCAAAAACAAAACAATCAAAAAATAGGGGAATACAAAAAACAGTGAGAGACTTAGCATTGAACACCTGTTGTAGGATAGCATTGGTTTGTCCTTTCTTCCTCGCCACAGGGAGCTTAGGCTTATTGGGTTACTCTCATCACAATGTTCCCATTTCTCTGTGTTTATTTGTAACCTCTTTTTTTGTGCTCTGTTACCCTGTAAATATTTTCTTTTCTCTTCTCCTTAAGTCTTTTGCATAGTTAATTCAGAGCACTGTTCTTTTGGCATAGACACAGGAAGACAGCTGATGCTATGCTTTTGTAACTTGGAAGTTAATTGACTCCAAATAATATTCATTCTAGGGCATCTGTCCTCTGAACCTAAGCCTCAGTTGCCCTTACTTCCTAGCACCCCCAAAGCAGGGTCCCAACAAGGGACTGGGCGGACCCAGGGCAAGCTGTGAGCTACCCTGGCATGGAAATGGGCCAAGCCAAAGCGCCACAATACTTAACTATAAGTTAAGAGCACGGTCATGAATAAATTCTGTCATGATCCAAAAAGTAGCAACTAGATTAGGACCCTGCTAGGGTTTGGAAGATTAATCTGGCCTGTAGTTTTATATGTCCCCAGGAGAGCCACCCTAAAAGCTAATATATCTCTTACTGTGTTCATACAAAATAACTAATATTAAGAAGTAGAATTAAGATTTTAATTAAGATGTTAATTAAATTATTGAACTAAAGAAAGGAGAAAAACCACTAGGTGGTGTTTAGCCCTTGAGCCAGATGGGCCACCGGGATCAGGAAGGGCTTTCATATGTTGATTGTGCTACCCTGAGTGTGTGGTTGCTACCCCCAATTGGGGAGTTGGTGAGAGACTGAGAGAGACCAAGACAGCAAGTTGGAGCGGGGAGAGATGAGCGGGAAAGACAGGAGGAGACGGGAATGAGGACCAGTAGGAGACTGGAATGGGGACCCTAGTGAGACTGGAATAGGCCCATGGAAAGAATGGAATAAATGGCAACCAACCAGCCTGACCCTCGTTTCCTCCTTCGTCCACCCATGGCATTGGCTGTCCCAGGTGGGGAAGTGACCTGAGACCACCGAAAACAGGCAGCAAGAGAGAGCCGTGGGATTTCCCAGCTACCTGGTGATTACACAACCTGTGAATACTAACAGCACACACATATACACACATGCATGGAAGAAAACTAGATGTTAGTTTCTTTTGAAGGGAGCAAAGACAGCAAAAAAAAAATCACAAAGTTGAGTCTGATCAAACGTTCAGATGCAATATCTAATATTTTTAGAAAATATAGGAGTCAAGAAGGAGTTAAAGAAATATGCTACACTATCCAGAGATGCTATACAGAGATACAGTCAGCAAAGTCCTGACAGAAGGAAACTGTCTTGAAGGGAAAAAAGGCGTTTCTTCAATACTAAGTTGCAAGTTGACAAAGGCAAGTGAAATAGAGCAAGAAACTATTGCTTTATTTTAAAAAAATGTTTTCATGAGTTTGGATCTTATCTGTATCTTAATTTATATAATCTGTTCAAAGCAAGTATGATTGTCATGAATCTATTCATGAGATATGAACACTTATTGGTTAGTGATGGTGTTAAGAAATTATTGTGACTTTTTTACTGATGATAATGGTATTGGAGTTTAGTTTTAAAATAAATGTTTATTGGATTCTTTTTCCGGTTCATAAGCATGATGACTGGTGTTCGCATGCTTGTGTGACATGTGCCTCCTTTAAAACTTGTTACTCATTTGGTGTGTTGCCCATCTGACGTGAGAAGAAAAAAAATAAATATTTATCTTTTAGATATAGTTGCAGAAAGATGAGATGAGATGAGATGAGATGATATTTTAGAGATGAGATGATATTTTGTAGTAATTTCTTTAAATAATGTTGGAGGGAGGTTAAATGTAATACAGGGAGACTGATCACAGTTGTTGAAAATTGTCATAAGGTTTTTTTATACTCTCTTTTTATTTAGCATTTGTTTGAAATTCTCCATTAAAAAACCCCAAACAAACAAAAATGAGAACATGGCTCATCATTCTACCATAATTTTTTAAAAAAAGTATTATAATGTTTTACTATTAAGAATCATACAAGTCCTAAAATTGTTTTCATATAGGACCACAGCAATAGTACAGGTCAGTTGCTGCAGACCAGGTTCTATTCACGGCACCCCATATGGCCCCCTATGCTCAAACGTTGAGCATCTCTGGGCGTGGCCCCAAAATTAAAAAAATTTTTTTCTAGTTCTTACCAATTTTTTTCTTTACTGAATAGAGTTGCAGAAGGAACCCACTATCCTTTTCTTCCCATTTACAGATAGGATTTGCATGGGGTAAAGAAAAGAACAGACTAAAAACTTGGGGAAAAGAGATAAACAAGAATTTCTTCAAAGAAGAAATACAAATGGCCAAAAAGCATATGAAAAGATGTTCTGTATCACTAACCATCAGGGAAATGCAACTCAAAACAACAATGAACTATCACCTCACACCACAGAGACTGTCAAAAACAACAACAAACAGTGTTGATGAGGATGTGGGGGGGGGGGGAAGGAAACTTCATTCACTACTGGTGGGAATGTCAACTGGTCTGGCCTTTTAGGAAGACAATATAGACATCACTCAAAAAACTAGGAATTAACTTCCATATGGCCCAGTAATTTCATTCCTGGGAATACACCCCAAGGGCCCAAAAGCACAATGTAAAAAAGACATCTATACTCCTATGTTCATTGCAACACTGTACACAAAATACAGAATCAATCCAAATGCCAATTAATAGATGATTGGATAAAGAAACTATGGTTCATAAATCCAGTGGAATACTACTTAGAAGTAAGAAAAGTCATACAATTTGCTGCAACATGGATGAATGTGTAGAGTATCGTGTTGAATGAAATTAGTCAGAGGGAGAGGAACAGACTCCAAATGATCTTTCTCAGATGTGGGAAATAAAGAAACTTGTAGGGGAGTATCATACACCCAAAGGAAATAGGATTGAAGAGTTGAGAGCTGGTCTTCAGTAGGAAGCTGATCACTGAAGTAGGGGTTGGGGGTAAGTTAGGGAAGGAAAAACTAGGATGACAGAGGAGCGGGGGAGTGCCTGCCACAGAGGCTGGCTGGGGACAGGAAGGGAAACTGGGGACATTGGTGGAGAGTAGTCAGCATCGGTGAAGGGATTGGTGTTAGAACAATATTTGCCTCAAACTCAATCAAAACTATCTTTGTAACTTTGTAATTCATGGTGATTCAATTAAAAATTAACTCTTAAAAAAAGAGATAAGAGCAGAAGATCACTCACATTGTTTTCTTATTATCAATGTTTAAAAATTGCAGAGAATGCAGTTTTCCTGTTGGTTGCCAGATGGTATTTTTTTGACCAAGACCCTTTTATTTTGGGTCACACCTGGCATTGCACAGGGGTTACTCCTGGACCATGTACTCAGGAATTACTCCTGGCATTGCTTGGGGGAACTATATGGGTTGCTGGGAATCGAACCCAGGTTGGCTTCATGAAAGGCAAACGCTCTACCTGCTGTGCTATTGCTCCAGCTCCATGACCAAGACCCTTCTTGATCTGAGGTTGGACCACATAGCATTCAACTTCAACAATAGACATTTAGCACTGAATTCTTCTCATGCCACCCCTCCACCACTAGTTTCTTTCCTAACACTGCTGAGCTGTGAGGCTGAGTTTTCATTGATTTTCTACTGCCAAAGTCAACGAATACTTCCAGCTCTTATCTGACATAACCTCATAGAACTTGTTTATTGCCAATTCTCTATAGCCATGTCCCACATTGTGATAATTCACTGGTTAAAGACTCTAGGTGCTTTCTGGTCATTGTTTATTTAATTCCTGCAACTCTAGCTGGGGGTTTTTATTTCCCACCCCACCCTCAAATTTGTTAACTGAAGAAACTGGCTCAGAAAAATTAGTAACTTTTCAAAGTTCTAAAAGATAATGACAAAACTTAAGCCTAGAACTATGCGATCTGAAATAATAAAAATTATTACTTAAACATTGTTGTTTCAAATATGAATATTTTATTATGAAAGGTTGTTTATTAACAATGACTTAATTATTAGTAAATTACTTAATAATTAAATTATTATTATTGGCTGGAGCGCTAGCACAGCGAGTAGGGCGTTTGCTTGCATGCAGCTGACCTGGCCGACCAGAGTTTGATTTCTCTGCCCCTCTCGGAGAGCCTAGCAAGCTACCGAGAGTCTCTCCGCCCTCATGGCAAAGCCTTGAAAGCTACCCGTGATGTATTCAATATGCCAAACACAGTAACAGGTCTCACAATGGAGATGTTACTGGGCCTGCTCGAGTAAATTGATGAACAACAGGAGGACAGTGCTAGTATTATGCCAATGGTTCAGCTATTAGATTTCTTGGAATGGAAAGATATAAAAAATCTTTTTGGAGTTCCATATGGGATTATTTTGGTGTATGTGTGTCTGTGTATCTGTGTGTGTTGTGTGTATGTACTTCTTAGGACATAAATAGGACTTAAAATTGTCTATACAGGGTTTAAGACACCTGTCTTGCATGCAGTCAACCTTGGTGTGAACTTCTAGCACTGCATATGCGCACCTAAACACCTTCAGAAGTGACCCTGAGCATTCTGGGTATGACCCAACTTTCTCCATCTCCTTCAAGCTAAGAAAAAGAAAAACAAACAAAAAGCAAGATACAGGATGCCACTGCTATATTAAAAGTGAGTTTCTACAAATGTATCCTCTTGAATATGATTAGAGAGAATGTTTCTTGAAGAATAAGAAATCAGGAAAAGTGACTTGTTCCTGAATTTGGGCTAGAAGGAAGTTTCCTGTGCAATCAATATAATTGATGCTTTATTAACGTTTTCAACTTTGTGCAAGGAGCATCATGGATTATGTAAATAAATGAATGGTTTGAACGAAAGTCTGCAAAAAAAAAACAGATATTACTATAGTCTAAATGCTTGTGTTCCTTCCAAGCTTATATATTGAAGTCCTATTTCCTGCTCTCTGTCCTCTGGAGAAGCCTGTGTTCTCTCTTCTATATGAAATTCACATGAAATTCAAGAGAGAGAGAGAGACAGAGACAGACAGACAGACACAGAGAGTCAGGGAGACAGAGAAAGAGGTCTTACATGAAATTCAAGAAAGACAGAGAGGCAGAGACAGAGAGACAGAGAGACAGAGAGAGACACACAGAGACAGAGAGAGAGATCAAGATCGAAATTCAAGAGAAACAGAGAGGGAGAGACAGAGAGAGACAGAGTCAGAGAGACAGAGAGAGAGACAGAAAGAGAAAGAGAGACAGAGAGAAAGAGAGAGACACACACAGAGACAGAGACAGAGAGATCAAGATCTTACCTCCCAAACTCCCAAAGATGGTATGGTGAGGGTGAGCCCTTCTGAGTGGATTAGTGCCTTTCAGAAAGGCAAGAGGCTCCCTGGGCCCTGAGGAGCGCTGGAGGAGATGTGGTTATGAATCAGAAAAGTTTTCCTCCCCAGAAGCAGACCATTCTGGATTTCCCAGCCCGAACTCTGAACAATAAATTTCCATTATTTATAAACAACCAAATCTGTGGGAATTTATTAGCAATCTGAACAGACTAAGACAGATATTTTCACATCCCCAGAAAGATACAGCTAACACAATCACAAAAACAACCTGAACATATCTCAGTGTACCTTGCTTTTGCTTTTTTTTTGACATGCATGTTCAGGGTCTGACAGAGCCTCCAGGCTGACTCTCACGACTATCACTACCCCTCCATGGGAAAGTGTGGAAGTGATCCTGTACCCATAGTCAGGGGCATCGATCTTGGTAGTCCTTTCTGGGTACCCAAAATTCAGACTGATTTTCCTAGCATGAGAACGTACTCAGGAAAATTGGGCCTGGCTGAAATCAGTGTCCTGAGGTTAGGAACCTGGATTTGAGCAGTTCTCCTTCTGCTGCAAACTCTTAAACGTCACTACACTTTAGAATTACCAGGGTAATTTCTTAGAATAGGGGCAAACGGTTGTGTAGGGCCAAACGTCTGCATTTTTATGCAGGAATCCTATGATTCTGAGGCACTAGGGACCACTTTTGAAGATGCGTAAATAACCCAGACTCTGAGTACTTATTGACTGGGGATGATGACTGGACTTTACTAGTAATTTCAGCTTTCTCTGGGGGTTGGGGGCAGGGAGAACAGAGCCTCTGGCGTCAGGGACAGTTAGGTCAAACAGAACTGGAGCCCTTCCCCCACAACACGACCATCAAACAGGATGTGCCTCAGATGGAGTCTGCGGATGCAAACAGGATCTGGAGAGAAATAGCAATTTTTCCTTTCCACTCTGAACCTCCATCCGACCAGTTCCGGAAACAGTCCTGATTAGAGCGTAATTGATTTGGGCTACACGAGCAGAGCAGCCCAGCCTGCAAGCTGCACGCTATCATCCCACTCTTTACTGCATTAAAAACAATCCGATATGACATGTGCTGGTTTCCTAACAACATTTGCAAACTTGAGTCCGATTATATAGTCCACGACTGTGCCAGCCATACTTGAGAACAGCGGGGCATTTCCCTCCAGCTCCCAATGACAGCAAACAAACTCAAGGCATTTTCGTTGCATAAATACTTACTCAGATCGCACAGGATTTGGGGTCTTGTGCAGTTCAGGAAGTGATCATGTATTAGCTTTCAAACAGGATCAGTTCCTCCTGTTCAAACAAGCATTCTAAGCAGTTTGCTATTGTTTTGGCTTTTGTTTTTCTCTA